CCATGTTTGATTAAGGCTAAACCGAATTGTTGGTTGGTATATCACTATGTATTCCATGAAATCCCTATGAAATCCCTATGAAATCCCCATTCATATCCCATTAAATCACCATTTCCCATTCCGGATCCAGTTGGTTCCGGTTCTTCCAAGGCGTTTTGTGGTACCTGCAGTGCCCTGGCTATGAAAACCTCTTTGAACCCGATGTACAGGGGGTGGCGGCCGTGGCCAAGGACATCTTTTTTCGATGGAGCTGGGGGGATCACTGTGTTTGGCACATCGCCAGCATTTGAAAAAAACACGTACGTTTCGTTGTTGTACCTGTCATGTGAAAAATGGTCTGGGGTTGTGGAAACACATCCTTTCCCCATGAACGATACAGGGGCTAGATCTTCAATCTACCGTTTTCAACGCAAAGACCATCTTGGGATGCTTAGAGGTCAAATCTATATCAATGGGCTTGGGTGAACATGTAAGACCTGGCAAAACCAGAGATTTTGATCCCATGTTTGCCAATGAACCAACATTTTGGGTCAATTTTGATTCACCAAATGACCCCAGCGCGAAGGAGATCCCGACGCCGCCTTCAAATTGGGCAACTTGGTCTGGCGATGATTGATGTTTGACGTCTGCTTTTTTTCCGACAGAAAATGCAGTCATCGAAATCATTGAACATACTGTGGATACAGAAAACGTGTGCGGTCGGAACTTGGAGTTCTTGGAGTTCTTGGAGTTCTTGGAGTTCTTGGAGTTCTTGGAGTTCTTGGAGTTCTTGGCCGGCCATGCAAGGTGAATCTTTCAGAGGACGACGAGTCCGCTGCGCCCCTAGTGGTGATGCTGCATCGATGAATTCCGATAAATGGATAATATCAATAAGTACAAAAGTTATATGACACAAGTAAAATAAGAAAGAACAACGAATATAATAACTTGAAACAAACAACATATGAATGTATATATATATACAACAATCATAATGATGAACGGATTTAAGAGCCGTGACTTGTCCACATTGTCCCAGGTCCAGGCAGCCGAGCGTAAAACCGCTGTAATGCGGCTGCAAAATCGTCTGCAACAGAGCTTTGCCAAGAAACTGAAGCCAGGGCAAGGACTGATTGGGCCATGATGGACTGGTGTTTCAGGGCCTAAATTTTCTGTTTTTTTTTGGTGAGATGAAAATTGTGGACAGCACGAAGTATGGAGCTGCTTGTGAGACGTGAAAGGTTGTGGTGCTTGAAAGCACTAACGGATGCTGTGTTTTGGAGATTTGAGGAGCACAGTTTTTTTTTTTGGTGTAGAAGGCCCACCGAAGTACAGATGGCCAGTAGCCATCATTTTTTGATGGGTATCCAAGGATGGCCCATCAACATCCCATGAGAAGAGATGCTGGTAAAGGAGGTATATGCTACATAATGCTACATATACACACATATTATACAATGGGATATGTAGGATAGATAAACATGTATAAACATATATGTTATATATATATATACATACACGCACGCATATGTGTATATATGTATATATACCTTTATATCTTTATCATATATATATATATATCACACATATATATATAACATACATATATATATATAACAAACATAAATATATAACATATATATATATATACGCATAATATTATATATATATATATATGTGTATATATATATAACATACATATATGTATATATATATATATGCATATATATATGTATGTATATGTATATGTATATGTATATGTATATGTATATGTATATGTATATACATATATAAATAAATAAAGTATATACATACAGGATATATAGGAGATATAGGATGTATAGGATACACACACATATATATATATACACAACATTACAGTATAGCTTCCGTGGAAGTCCGTTGGTAAGTTCCTTCCGGAGGAGTATGGGAATGGTCCTACGAAACGGACGCCAGTGATGAGAACTGGCCGCCCCTGCAGCGGGCCACCGTTTGCGTCCCTGTGGCGCACCAATCCTTCACAGGGTGCCCAATCTCAGACACGGGGGAAACGGAGGGCATCTAACATCATATACTGGAGTATTGGTATTGTCTGGGATATATATATATATATGTATATATATAGAGAGGATATACTACTCCATCTAACCAAAGATAGGATTTCAAAGATAGGATTTCTTTTGAAACAAAGAACATTTTTTGGGATCTAAGGTAGGGATTTACTGGTGGTTTCACCAGTTAGCCAGACATGATGATTTAGCAAACATTTGGATTGAAAAAACAAGACAGGGATTGAACTACTCATTGTATTCAGGGTGAAACTCAAAATGAAACTTGTGACACATGGTGATTCTGAGACCCTACAATGTAGCCAAGTAAGAGATATGATTAAGGTGATAGTTCCACTTGCCGAGCTTTAGACAACACTTTTTTGAGATTATGGTTCCACTAATAGTCACTAATGAGTGGAAACTGGTTACATAACTCTTGGTTTTTGTTAGCTTAATCACAATTTGTGTAGCTTCCATCATCCATAATTTTGTTTCTTTGCTCACCCAACCAGTTTTTGTTATTCAACCTCCCATTTGTGTGGATGAATGTGTCTATTTTTCTAGGTAGTGTTGGGTAGTTAAATCACCTGTTTGTGATAATTTGGGAGATCCACACATGACTCTTGTACAGTCTTCCAAACGTGATAGGCCATGGAAGCGTGGTCAACGAGAAGCACAGTTGGAGGTGCAGCGCAAACTTGACTCATTCCAGGTCAAGTGGGAATTACTTGGAGTAGGGGGAAAACACCAAGCAAAAAAATTGGGGGAGAGACTTAAACTACTTAAACTATGAAACATGATTGGGGAGTGATCTACCTAGAATCAACTATGGAGATGTGACCCTTCTGAATTGTCGGGGATTTAAGCCACGAAAAGATTGGAATTTCACGGGAAAATGATCACATTCTACAAATGTTAGCCAAGTAATGGAGATATGAAGGTTTGAAAGAACAAACATGGGAATTAAAGCGTGATATTTTACCAATGACGGCAACGAAAACTGCAAGATCTTGCGATGAAGCCGGACTGGGGATTCAACCAGCGATCACAGGTAGTTACTTTCAATGTTGCCATCCCCATTGTAACTACTCAACAAAAATCTTGGTGACTCTACTTTACAATATTTATGAACTTGAAATCTGGGATGATCGAGCTGAAGTGCACTAGATGGGCCTTTTTATCTGGGCTCTACACAAGACCTGAACACGGGGATATATTGAGAGAGAACAAATCGCTGATTTTTGTGGATGTATACGGGTTGGTCAAACCTATAGTTTTGCCGAGATGCGCATTCAGCACAAGCAGCTCTTTGGTCTGGCGGTGATAGATGGCCGTATGGTTTCGTGCATCATCATGTCAACTTTGATGCACTTTCATCAATGATAAAGTGGTAAAATCACCACGCAGGCCATTCAAAATGAACACGTAGTTTTAAAGCTGCATTTCATCATCTTTGCATTCCCTTTTTTGAGGCTCCGAACAAACTACTTCAGTGGAGACATTGTGAGGTCAGAGCATAGAATCAAGTACGTGCTAGAAGTTACTTGAGAAAGTTCAGAGCATAGCATCAAGTACGTGCTGCATGTTACTTGAGAAAGTTCAGAGCGTAACATCAGGTAGAAGTTACTTGAAAGTTCAGAACGTAGCATCAAGTACGTGCTAGAAGTTACCTGAGAAAGTTCAGAGCGTAGCATCAAGTCCGTGCTAGAAGTTACTTGAGAAAGTTCAGAGCGTAGCATTAAGTACGTGCTAGAAGTTACCTGAGAAAGTTCAGAGCGTAGCATCAAGTCCGTGCTAGAAGTTACGTGAGAAAGTTCAGAGCGTAACATTATGTACGTGCCAGAAGTTACTTGAGAGAGTTCAGAGCGTAGCATCAAGTACGTGCTACAAATACTACGCGTGCCAAGGAACGTTATTGGCCCCCACCCCAACCCCCCCACACGTCTGACATTGCAACATGTATGCGCCTAGTGCCCCCCACCCCAACCCCCCCACACGTCTAACATTGCAACATGTATGCGCGTGCCAAGGAACGTTATTGTCCCCCTTCACCCCAACCCCTCACATGTCTAACATTGCAACCTGTACGCGCGTGCCAAGGAACGTTATTGCCTCCCCACACCCCAAACCCCACCTCTAACATTGCAACATGTATGCGCGCCCCAAGGAACGTTATTGCCCCCCCTGAGGTAGCAATCCCCTCTATTAAGGGAGCCCTGCATCTACACTAGAACACTTGTGGTCAGCGCAGCGGCAAGCTACACCTTTTTGCTGCGGTATGCAAGCAACCAAGTCTTGAGCCACGGAGTGGCGCAGTGGTCTAATGAATTAATGTGAACATGTCATGTACATGCAACACTGTCAGTCATGCATTGTGAAGACACGTCCCCAAAAATAGATTACAAACAGACACAAATTTTCTTCGTGTCGTAATATGCACAAACTTTTCATGCATAAGAAACGCTCAGCTTATGCTCTGCAGTGAAACGTGTCTGAAGACAAAATCAGATGCTACTGCTGACCGCTTTTGCTGTTCGTGCTTTGGAAATATGAGAGAGCCAATTCATGCCACAGTTTGACAGCTTTAGAGCCCCATCGTATAAGTATAACCGTAAAGCCAGAGCTCGTTTTCACGTCCCTGTCGTCCTCGTTGATAGGCGCTTTTGAGCGATTTCGAAACGCCCTATCCAGTGCACGAATTCGCTCTGGCCTCGATATGTGCGAAACATCTGAAGGAATCGCCAAAGGAACACATAATTTACTCCCTTCACGAAGTAGGGTCTCAATGTGTCCTTGAAATGAGCGACGCCACGATCCGGTTCTCGGAGTAGGGCATTGTCGAGCATCGACTTATAAAAAGAAGCTGAGCCTACTAAGGCGTTCTTCAAAGATGGTCCGTGCTTGTCTGGGTCCAATGTTGTAATACCGAGCCAGTCATCAATTAAATTTTCATATTCAAACCAGCTAGTTTGGCCATCAAATTGGGGAGGTACCTTAGGAGTCATTTTGATGCCTAGCCGGTTTTCGGCGTGACTGGCTGCAAAGGCTTCAGGCTCTTTATATATGAGAGAATTTGAAGTTGCTCTTCGTCTGAGTCCATGTTGTGGATTAAGGCCATAGCAGCGATTTGGATGCGACCTACAAGTTGCCTTCGCAAGTCCGAATTTCGGAGCAGATGCTAAGAACAACTGCTGTACAAGTTTTGTCGGAACTTGGCAAAGGCACAGGCTCCGCTACCACTTTGAGGTAGCAATCCCCTCTATTAAGGGAACCCTGGATCTACACTAGAACACTTGTGGTCAGCGCGGTGGCAAGCTACACCTTTTTGCTGCCGTATGCAAGCAAGTCTTGAGCCACGGAGTGGCGCAGTGGTCTAATGAATTAATGTGAACATGTCATGTACATGCAACACTGTCATGCATGCATTGTGAAGACACGTCCCCAAAAATAGATTGCACCCCCCCACCCAACCCCCCTAAGCAAAAAAAACATTAAAGAAAAACAAAAAAATGCGCTTCGTGAAGTCGAAATGCTCAAAATTTGCAAAAACTGGGCTCCCGCTGTGACGCCAGACACGTGAAACGCAAACAAAGTGTTTCCTCATGCGGCCTTCTACGCGCGCCCAGCCAACTACAGTACGTGCATCAGGGTTTTGATCCATGCGACTGTATTTAAACATCCATAAATCCATACATCCACACATCCAGACATCCAGACATTCACACATCCTCGCTTCCATGCATCCATCCATCCATCCATACATCCATACATACGTATGTACGTACGTACCTACCTACGTACCTACGTACCTACGTACCTACGTGCCTACGTACCTACACACCTACGTACCGACGTACCGACGTACCGACGTACCGATGTACCGACGTACCGACGTACCGACATACCTACGTACCGACGTACCTACGTACCTATGTACGTACGTACGTACTTACATACATACATACATACGTACGTACGTACGTACATACGTAGGTACGTACATACATACATACATACAAACTTCCATCCACCCATCCACGCACGCACGCAGACAGACATAAAGACATACAGACACACAGACATACAGACAAACAGACATACAGACATACAGACAGACAGACAGACATACAGACATACAGACATACGGACATACAGACAGACAGACATACAGACATACAGAAATACAGACATACAGACATACAGACAGACAGACAGACAGACATACATACGCATACATATGCATACATATACACGCATGCGCATGGGCGAGTGGTTTTGGTTGCAAGAACTACTCGTACTTGTTTTGTAAACATCTAACTTTTGATATCATCAGTTTGGCTGATATACATGTCTAGAACAGGCATATGTGTATATATATAGTTACACGTATATACGTATGTACGTATGTACGTATGTACGTATGTACGTATGTACGTATGTACGTATGTACGTATGTATGTATGTATGTAATGTAATGTAATGTAATGCAATGGTATGGTATTGTATGGTATGGTATGTATGTACATAGACATTTAATATAGAAAATTATACCACCTTTCATTTTTGGAAGTTCTTTATGCTGATGGCACCTGATTATTATTCACTAGGAATACCCGCACGTTGAATACATTTTTGCATGCTGTAGAATCAGAATCCCAGTGCTATGGTCTCAAACTCGTCCAAATGTACTGCCATCACAAGTACCAGAAGACTCAGAAGACATGGACTCAAATTTTGGGATGGGACCCCTGTACCCTGTGAAGATCAAATTACTTACCTGGGAGGCATGTTTATTCGACAAGTCAACACACGAGCTGAAATGAAAATCAGAATTGCAGCCACCATGGCTACTTGGAGACGGATGCACGTTTTCTTCAAAAATGCTACCTGTCCTACTTGCTGGAAACCGATTGTTTACAATAGTATGATTTGTTCCAAAATATTGTACGGCCTGGAAACCCTTGCGATACCCCAAGCACTTTAATGTAAATTTGAAGCCTTCCGGATCCCATGCGACAAGTCAGCTTTCAGAAAAGCATCGCTTCCGCTAGAGCTTTGTTGGAATAAGTGCCACAATTCCCCATATACAAATTCCCCCATCCAACAACGATAGCTTTTGGCTGAAACAAGGCAAATATTCTTCTCATTGTGCTCTTGCCATCTTGTGACGGCCGTCGCTACTATCCGTTATTCCATTCGGCACTTTGAAGTGGCCTTCGCTAAACATTCGCTATTCTGTTGAAGATGTTGGGGCTTAATTCGTTTTGTGCTTTTGTTGAGTTCTTCACTTTCAATCTGTAGAGAGAGGTGTCTTTTTATTTCAACCAAAGGTTGCAAATTATCGGAAATTGTGCCGCGTGCCGGCCTGATAGACAATTTGATTTCTTTGCGCGTTTGGAAGTGCCTAACGGGCACTTGTCATGGAAGATTCGGTTTTTATTTTCAGCTAAATCTTGCAGTTAAGAACCTGAAGATTCTTCCCCGTGCCTTGGCAGCAGAGAAACATGCACATTGAATGTACATGTATGTATGTTACTTTATATCAGTTTCTGCTAGTGTATACTCCTGTAAATTAACATATACTTAATAGATGCTAATAGATCTTAAAAGATATATGTACTATTCATATTATATGAATATATGTATATATATATAAATATCTGAACATACCATAAAACATACACTGTATCATCTACCTATCTACCTATCTATCTATCTAATCTATTCTATTCTATTCTGTTCTGTTCTATTCTCTTCTCTTCTCTTCTCTTGTCTTCTATTCTATTCTATTCTATTCTATTCTATGCTATGCTATGCTATGCTATGCTATTCTATTCTATTCTATTCTATTCTATCTATTCTATCTATTTATTCTATCTTTCTATTCTATCTATCTATCTATCTACCTATCTATCTATCTACCTATCTATCCATCTATCTACCTATGTACCTATCTATCTATCTATCTATCTTTCTTATCTGATCTATCTGACCTATCTGATCTATCTATCTATCTTATCTATCTTATCTATCTTATCTATCTTATCTATCTTATCTATCTTATCTATCTTATCTATCTTATCTATCTTATCTACCTTATCGATCTTATCGATCTTATCGATCTTATCGATCTTATCGATCTTATCTATCTGATCTATCTGATCTATCTGATCTATCTTATCTATCTATCTATGTATCCTATCTTATCTTATCTTTTCTTATCTTATCTTATCTTTTCTTGTCTTATCTTTTCTTATCATTTTTTTAAATCTTTTCTCATCTTTTCTCATCTTTTCTTATCTTTTATTATCTTTTCTTATCTTTTCTTATCTTTCCTTATCTTTTCTTATTTTTTCTTATCTTTTCTTATCTTTTTCTTATTTTTCTTATCTTTTCTGATCTTTTCTGATCTTTTCTTATCTTTTCTTATCTTTTCTTATCTTTTCCTATCTATCCTTATCTATCCTTATCTATCCTTATCTACCCTTATCTATTCTTATCTATTCTTATCTATTCTTATCTATTCTTATCTATCTATTCTTATCTATCTATTCTTATCTATCTATTCTTATCTATCTATTCTTATCTATCTATTCTTATCTATCTATTCTTATCTATCTATTCTCATCTATCTATTCTTATCTATCTATTCTTATCTATCTATTCTTATCTATCTATTCTTATCTATCTATCTGTCTATCTATCTATCTATCTACCTATCTATCTATCTATCTAGCTATCTATCTATCTATCTCTCTATCTATCTATCTATCTACCTATCTATCTATCCATTCCATCTATCTTATCTATCTAATCTAATCTAATCTAATCCAATCTAATCTAATGTAATCCAATCTAATCCAATCTAATCCAACCTAATCTGATCTAATCTAATCTTATCTAACCTAATCTAATCTAATGTAATCTAGTCTAATCTAACCTAATCTAATCTAATCTAACCTTGTCTAATCTAATCTAATCTAATCTATCTATCTATCTAACTTTCTATCTATCTATCTATGTATCTATCTAATCTAATCTAATCTAGTCTAATCTAATCTAATCTAATCCAATCTAATCTAGTCTAATCCAATCTAATCTAATCTAATCTAATCTAATCTAATCGAATCTCTCTCTCTCTCTCTATATATATATACACGTACACTGCACACACACATGTATAAATAAATAAATATATATATACACACACATAAAAATAGAAATATAGACATAGATATAGATGGATACTAGATTATAAAATTTCGTTTTCCTTGGACTCTGAAGGCCTGTCAGATGCTTCAAGGCTTCCTAGACTCCTTGGAACGACCTGAGGACGGGGTTGTTAGTTGGGGGAGTGGTAAATCCTGTAAAACCATCATTGGTAAACAAATGTTGCTAAACCACGGGTATTCGAACAATCATTGATATTGCAAATTGGTAATTAGCGTTCCTCATTTTAACGATCATGGAAAAGTGGAAGTATCGGTCAATCATGGGAAATTCTTGGAACTTGTCATCGTTACTCTTGACTTCACACTTGGTAGGAACTGCTCATTGCAGGCTTGCCATGCCCAATTTTGGTCAAGTGACAGGTCCAAATCACAGGTCTGCTGTTGGGACACACCAGAGAAGTGCTTCATTTCAGCCCCTTGAGCTGACCCGCTTCGTCCGACAGGACGCTCTTTTGAGCGGCACCTGCCAATAGTTTGTTCAGCTGAAGAGCTGCGTCCCCCGTTGAAACAAGGAGGTCAGTTGACCCGGGTGATTTTAGACATGGAGAACTGGTGATTTATATAACCAGCAAACGTGGTCCTCACATCGCGACGTCACTGGGGTGGGTAGGGATTGGGATAATTGATCCAGAGACATGGAGACATGGTGATTTAGGGACAAACAAGTGGGGGGACCTCACGATTCACCTTAAAATATACATAGGGGATCTAAGATTCCGAAAAAATTGGCTACACTAACTGGTTTAAGATTTAAAAACTTTGGGGATGACATTTTCCAGCAGCTACTTTCTATGCAGCGAACTAGGTACTGAAAAAGGATGATGAATTTGTTCCATCAGCCAACCAGTGGAAGATGACACATGGTTTTGAGTCCTTGCCAGAAATTCTGTCATATGCTTAGTAATATGCTTTGATCTTTTTTGTTGCAGTTATCCATCCCAATTTGATATAATGTATCATATATATATATAATATAAGTCAATTTTGACCACCGATCAGAAAGCCCTTGTTCGCTTTCATGGCCTGGTTTTTTGAATTGGGTTAACTCCATGGATCATCATGCTTCATGTTTGACCGCTCAGGTGCACGCGGTCCTTTTCGGTCCCAATTTGGCCAGTCACTTGCCGCGACGTGATGGATGGGGATGGGGATGGATGGATGGATGTGATTTTCCTGTGCGCAGACCCACGAGTGTGGATCTGTTCTGTTGAGTTTGGGGTGTGCAATGCGGAGCTGCTGGTAATTGCAGCCCCCAGGATCGTACAGATGCCTGTTGTCCGAGAGATTCGCAGGACTGGATTCAGCGTGTTCCGGAGATGGATGGGTATCCACTTCACAAAGTTTTGGGGATGCAACATGATGCAACTATTTTAAGATAGACGGCTATGTCACTATGTCCCAAAAGGTTTTCCCAGATCCACCACGACTATTGATGACAAGTAGGAGGAGTTCTGGCAGGTGCCCTGGAAAAAGGCCTTTGGTGTCAAAAACTTAGCTTGTTTTTTCCCCAATCCAACTGCACCAAAAAACACGTCTTGGCATTATTTTTGAAGTCATTTCAGGTAGTTTCAACCTGCTATGGCAATGGAGTTCATTGGATGCAAGTGGCTTGAACACTGCTCCCATCCCACGCTGAAGGACTGGCAGATGAATATCTATCAGGCACAACACGGCACTTCACAGTCTGGTTGTGGCGAATGTAGGGAAATGGGTTACCCTTTGGTACTCAAACACGGCAATGGAAAATCTCTCATTTACTTCTCCCACATTTAAACTGAATTTGTAGTGGATTTCCAGCGAGCCATGTTTGATTACCAGAGGGTAAAATTGCTTCGCCAAATATACCTTTACAACTGAAAGTGACCAAAACCTCTGGTTGTGATGGGTCCGAGGGCCTGAATTTTTGACTGCCATATTGGGAAACATGGGAAATGCCTCATAAAGACGGAGGTTTTGATCCACCCAAGCAGCCAGAGGACATGGATCAATGCCCTGATTTGGGAAATCCCGAGTTTTGAGCATCAAAATGCCAGCGCCCATTCTCGCAGGAGTATTTGAGCAAAGTTGGCGTCTGGTGGTAAAGATGGCTATGAATAGATGTAATGAATGGTTCTAGTGGTTATATTGGCTGCTGTTTAATGATGATTAAGATGACTCAATGCTGATACATACGCAACATCACATACATACAGAACAAGACAACACAACCCAACGCAACACAACGTAACGCAACATTACATACATGTCATTACGTAGGTACACTACATGCATACTACCCAGCCCCGGTTGAGTTTTATCTCACAGGCTATCCAAGATTGGGACGTCTTCTCTTGGTTGGCACAGCTCTAAGATGAGCCAAGTTGGGTCTCGACACAGAAAACCGCGCTCCAGGAAGTTTTGTCCCCAAAGTCAGGTGCGGACTCCAAGGGGTTGGGCTTGGCCACAAGAACTTCTCCGATGGTTTGATCGATTTCTTCTTGACTTTCCACAAGGTTGCTCCAAGCCATAGGTCAATGATAACCACAAAGGCCGGAAAACATGTGATTCTACCGGGTGTTGGGAGAGTTCCATCTCTGAGAATCCCCAAGTTAACTCTCTCTCTCTCTCTCTGGCTCGCGTTACATTGAGATATTACGCAATATTACGCATCATTACACGCTATTCTGATGTACCCTCTGGTTATTTAACATAGCCATGGGAAATGGCCCATAGAAATAGATGGTTTACCTTTCTTAAAAATGGTGGATCTTTCCATGGCAAACTGTTAGTCATAACCAGATGGTATTTCTTTCTGACATCTACCACATTTTGGGGATGACCCCCAACCACCATTTGCGTCCGATCCTCCTGGGCGTGGACAACCCAAAAATGGTGAAGGGAATCCTGGAAACCTTACATGGTTGCCCATGGTTGCCAATCTGGATTCATTGTAAATTGTATAGTTTTAGCTGTTTTTAGATGTTTTGAGGTTCCACGTTCATTTTCAGTGGTGTACCGAATTTCCTCTTTGATCCCGGACTAGTTTCCTCAGGTTGGGACGCTGCAACGAATGTGCTTATGACTTAGGCCCGTAGATTTCGGAAGCCAATGTAAAGCCTGGGAGCTTGATCTTTGGAACGGCTGGAACCCAACCTTGTGATGAGGCAGGCGCTCTGAAGAAACTTCCGTGACTGGCCCGTTGGCCAATGTGATTGAAAATGTCTTCGGAATTGGGGCCTTGATTTTTGCAATGTGTTTTCCGGATGTAACAACACATCATTTTGATACTTTTCTATTCTGGTTGGTGCCCTACCTTGGTTGATACATTTATTCATAGCTAATAGCTATATATATATATATATATATATACCACGGTTGGTTCTTGGCTTGGAGCCACACAGCGCTGCCCACCCAAATATACCGCAGCTACTTGGGCCATGCGCCGGCTGGGTCCTCCGCAACTCCCCTTTGGCCTTGAGTTGACCGATGTTGTCGGCAGAACAGAGAGACTCAGAGAGACCGGATGTTTGCCCAACTTTTGATGTTTGGATGGAAGGAATTGACTATAGAATTCTATAGACTATAGACCAGTCCCGAAGAGTCGCTCAAGACTTCAGCTTCTTCGAAGTTGGATCTTGCTGGATCCAAAGTCACCAGCTGTTTCTGGAAATTCATAGATTCATAGTTGTTTCGCCATGGACGTTACACAACAGATATAACAGCTTGGGGAAGCTTCCAAGATCGCCATGAAAAAAATCTGGTCGTTGAACGGGGTTGATCCGAACGATTCCCATGGGCCATAGATCTACCACCATTATGGGCCCACCCAAGAGTTATAGGTTAGTTACTATAGGTTTACCAACTTCGCTAAAGAAAGAACCAGTCAGTTTTTTTTTTTTTCCGGTAGGTCCGATCAGTCATGATGATGGCATCATGGGCCATGTTTAAACGTGGCAGTTGCTGACACATTTGTGCTCAAGGATCTGACATCTACGCTCCCTAGACGTCCTGCACGGGCTCCTGTCGTTATACGGACATCCCTCGTTTTGTACAGTGGACTCCAACGTGAGGCCGTGAGCCCTGGGCGCTGAGCGAAGCACCAAACTAAATGACTTGAGAAACAGCAAGAAATCAAGGCTTTTTGATCCTGTTGCAGGTTGTGACCTTGGTGTCTGACATAATTGCCATGGTTGTGACATGTTGTGACATCATTTCACACAGCTGATCTTCCGCAATGGAGGAGGTGGGAGAACATTCCCAGGTGCTTGTTCAACAGCCCCAAAAAGATTGAAGACAGAAGCGGTGTGTGCGAGTCGTTGGAAGCCCTGGAAACAACGCCTCAAAGGTCTGTTGATATCAGCCCATCAGCACTTTCTGGAAGCACACCATGAACATCACCAAGTCAACCCCAACACCCCTCCCACGTCTTGCTGGTGGATTGGGATGTATCTCCTTTGCCAAAGGTGTGTTCACCATCGGTTGGCAAGCATCATTTTCTGGAAGACTCATGCTATAGAACTGGCCTTGATACACCAGGGTGCCAATCAGGACTTCAGCAACAATGGCGAATTCTTCCAACGTCCTTGCTATTTGCAAGATGCGTAGCCGTGCGTTTAAGTCACACCAATTCTAGGAGACTGAGCAACATGCACTCCAAGAAAGGGGGTACAGAGCTGGCAGATGCAATCATTCTATTACGATTACGGCCGCAAAGACTGGTAGTCAAGCCAACATTTCAAAGGCTAAAATAGATGTTTCGGTATTGTCAGTGCCTTCCAAGCAAGCCTTCAAGGTTTCTGTGAAATGATCCAGCCCGAAGTTGGGATGACGTCCCACTGCCTGGTATTCCCCTCACATTGGACCTCCGGAGTTCAGCCGTTCCAAGAGTTGGGTATCCATTATCATCATCTATTTACCATCTGGGTATTTAACATAGCCATGGAAAATCAACATTTTTAATAGGTAAACCATTTATAAATGGGCCATTTTCCATGGCTATGTTAAATAGCCAGAGGGTAATCCATTCGATCCATTCGATCCAATCAATCCATTCAACCCATTCCACAGAAATGTTGCGGTCACTCTCCTCAACTGATTCAGTCTCCAACAAAGAGACAACAAGATGATGTCCCTACACATGCGAGGGGCGAAGTCTCTAACTCGTGCTGCGCACCGCCCTGTGGTGGATTCGACGTTCGGCCGAAGGGTCGGATCTGGCGAACAAGCCGCCAAAGGGAGAAAGATATCAGGATATATTGGTATCATTTGGTATCAGCATTTGTACTGTTGTGAGTGCAATCTCTGCAATACAGTAAACACATCTATATATGTCTATATATAATTGCGTATATGTATACAATAAACTTATCTATACATGTATATATATAATTGCGTATATGTATAGTACATAATGTGTGTATATATATATAAATATACATATAACATGTAATATACCAGTAGTACCGCACAAGGCGGTGGCGGAAGTTTCAAAAATAGGAAAACTATAGGGGAGGTTGGTTGTTGTGAATCACGGATGGCAGAGCGAATCCACTGATGGACCGAAAGGTGGTTGGAGTTGTGTTTTTTTGGAGTGGTTCCAGTGTTTGCAGTGGTCACCTCACCACAACTGCTGGATGTAGTGTGGTGTAGTGCAGTTGTAGTTGTAGTTGTAGTGTAGTGTAGTGGAGTTGTAGTTGTAAGTTGTAAGTTGTAGTTGTAATGTTGTGTAATTAGTGTATATAGTGTAGTTGCAGTTGCAGTTGCAGTTGTGGTGTCGTGTAATTAGTATATTGTATTGTAGTGTTGTGTACTGTAGTGTGGTAAAGTGTAGTGTAGTCTAGTCTAGTGTAGTGTAAGGTAGTGTAGTTGTAGTTGTAGTTGTAGTTGTAGTTGTAGTTGTAGTTGTAGTTGTAGTGTAGTGTAATTAGTGTAGTGTAGTGTACAGCGGAACCGTTAGATAAGAACCGATTAAGAATTTTCCAGCCTACCCTGGGTTCTTAGGTGCTATAGGTGGAAAACATGGGAATTATGACCGTGGGCGCCCTCAAGTTCTTAATGGGTTAGTTCTTAACGAGTTCATATGGCGAGGGTTTTGCCGATTCATTTTGCCGTGGTATTAGGTTGCAAAGGAGGCGGGGGGAATAAAAAACTTTTTAGTTCTCGATTTCCCCCCCCAGCAGCGTAAGCTTGAGGTCTTCAGCCATAGTAAAGGTCCCGGAGCAGGTCGGAGCAGCCAAAATCCGGATTCCCAAAGTTCCCAGGTTCCCAGGAACGGGTTCCCAAGCAAGGTTCCCAAGCCAGGTTCCCAAGCAAGGTTCCCAAAGAAGGTTCCCAAAGGTTACCAGGAAGCCCAAAGGTTCCCAAGCAAGATTCCCAAGCAAGGTTCCCAAGCAATTCCGAAAGGTTCCCAAGCCAGGTTCCCAAGAGCAGGTTCCCAAGCAAGGTTCCCAAAGGTTCCCAGGAAGAGGTTCCTAAAGGTTCCCAAGCAAGGTTCCCAAGCCAGGTCCCCAAGAAAGGTTCCCAAAGGTTCCCACGCGAGGTTACCAAGCAAGGGTCGCCAAGCAAAGCTCTCAGGAACAGATTTGCAAGCAAGGTGTCCAGGCACAGGTGTCCAAGCAAAGATGGTCAATCAAAGGTTTATTTCGGTTTATTTCAAACAGCTCTCAAACATCATTTCGACAAACATTTGTTGACTTTTTCATGTAGTTGTTGCTGTTGGGGATATTCTTTGGGCTTATTTTTTTCAGGTGCAGGCATTCCAAACAGAGCTATAGGCCAGTATTCCACCATGCCAGGGCTTGAAAATTTATTTTGGCGTGGTATTAGGTTGCAAAGGAGGCGGGGGGAAGAAAAAACTTTTTAGGTCCCGGAATTTTTTTTCAGGTTTTCGCGCACCTGCATCTTCTTTCTTCTGATTCTTTCTCTTCTCTGATCTTCTTTCTTCTTCTCTTCTCCTCTCTGACGCTTCCCACCTCTGCGTTTGACTTCTAAACTTCTTTCGATAATATAGATCCACACATGGTTCTATGCGAAAACATATGGCAGGCACAAATTCCTTGATATCTATGTTTTTTCCCTGCTATCGAATCAAGGGACAACAGCAGCAGCCACCAGGACGAGTTCAGTGTTGATGGGGTCAAAGTTGGGAGGCCGGAAAATCCACCGTTTAGTTTGGCTATTTTTACGATTGAAAACGTCTTTATGAGATTTCCACTTCCATGTTTGATAGAGGGTAAAATTATGAAAATCTTACCAGCAAACTCTGAGGGTTGTTGGTTATTTATTTTTGTCATTTTTTTGTCATTTTTTGTCATTTGGTTTTGCATTTTTTTGTCTTTCCTGTTTTGTGGTGTCATTTTTTGGTCATTTTTTTGTCATTTGTTAAGTCATTTTTTTGTCATTTGTTAAGTCATTTTTTTGTCATTTTCTTGTCATTTTTTTGTCGTTTTCTACTTTCTAGCATTGTTCATTTTCTTGTCGTTTTCTCATAAGGATCAGGCAAGCGGTGAAGGTGGCAAACCCGGTCTAGGAAATGCAAAAAATTGCAAAAAATGATTCCCGGTTTGGGAAATGCAAAAAAAATGCAAAAAAAATGACTCCCAGTCTGGGAAATGCAAAAAAAATGCAAAAAAAATGACTCCTAGTCTGGGAAATGCAAAAAAAATGCAAAACAAATGCAAAAAAAACGAAAAAAAAATGCGAAAAAAATGCAAAAAAAATGCAAAAAAAATGACTCGCGTGCTGGTAAAGTTGCGTTTTTGGAGTTTCCAGGTCGGCCCCGCTTCTCGGGCCTGAGCCGCCCCCCCGGGCCATTTCACCCCGGCCCCGCCCCCCCACCCGGTTTTTGAGCCGGCCCTGCACCCCGAGCCGGGAGACAACTCCTCGTCCAGGCAGGCCCAAAAACGAATTCCCCAGGGCAAGCTCCCCTGCCCTATCCTTCTTCACCGCCGGCTGGCTTTCCAAGAGTTTCTCCACTTGTTCCTTGTATTTGGTGCTGCCACGAGATAACAAAAGGTCTGTCATGGTAGTCATTTTTAAACAATGTTTTTTCTCCATTTTCCCGTTCCCAAAATGACAATAAAATGACAATAAAATGACAATAAAATGACAAACAAATGACAAAAAAATGACACAGAAATGACAAAGAAATGACAAAAACATGACAAAAAAATGACAACACAAATCCAAAATGACAAACCCAAATGCAAAAAAAATGCAACAAAAATGCAAAAAAAATGACAAAATAATTATTTTGGAATT